TGTTTTTAAGAGCTGAGGGTGAGGTTTGAATCACTCACAGCTTCGTGCAGACAGCGCAGGAATTCCAGCTCCTGCTTCAGGATTTCCACCCTCACATCCAGCTCCATTTTCCCCAGGTAGGCACTGTCCAATTCCTGGGAAAAAAACCCAAATCCATCACCATTCACATTCCTTTGCTCCAGATCCTCCCCTGGAGTTCAATTCCCGGCGTATTCCCAAAAAACCTTCCGCCCTGGGATCAAACATCGCCCCCCCCGGGCTCGGATTTCCTTGGAAAAGTGACGGGAATGGAGGGAAAGGGGGGGAAAAACGGGCTGGGAAAGGAGCACCAAACCCTGGGGCAGAAAATGCCCTCCTGGGGAACAGGGAAAAGGTGAAAACGCGGGTTTTGTTCTTCCTTTGGATAAAAAGCTGCCGAAATTCCCTATTTTCCCGCGGATTTTGTTCTCCTGAGCCACCTCTAGGCGGGATTTAACCTAAAAATGACCTTCTGCTTGAGCCGGGGGGGAGAGAAGAGGGGGAAAATCAGCATTTTGGGGTTATTTCAGAGAATCCCCCGATATCCCGAGCTGGAATATTTCCTCCCAAGGGACCAATTCCAGAGGGAATTCTCCCTCAGTCCCTGCTCTCAGCCCCTCCAGCTGGAATTAAATCCCAGCAAACCCCTCAGCTTTGAGGAGCCCGGGGGTTGTTTTATTCCCCAGGCTTTGGCTCCTCGGTAATTAAAGACTTTCCCCGATCCAGAGCTCCAGAAATCCCTCGGAGCAGGTGAATTAACTCAGATTAAATCCCAGTTCCAGGGGCTCCAGTTACTCCACCTTTTTCAGCTCCACAAATTCCTCCTCCCGGGACGTGCGGTTGTTGACCTCGTCCTCGAACCTGGGGGCAGGAAGGAGGTGGATCATTATCTATTATCAATTAATTTACACAATTAATCCATTATCTATTATCAATTAACCTATTTCATTCACCTATTATCCATTAATCTACACAATTAATGTATTATCTATTATCAATTAACCTATTTCATTCATCTATTACCCATTAATCTACACAATTAATGTATTATCTATTAAAAATTAACCTATTTCATCTATTATTAATTTAACCAATTAATCCATTATCTATTATCAATTAACCTATTTCATTCACCTATTATTAATTAATTTACACAATTAATGTATTATCTATTATCAATTAACGTTTTCATTCATCTATTATCCATTAATCTACACAATTAATCCATTATCTTTTAAAAATTAACCTTTTCATTCATCTATTATCCATTAATCTACACAATTAATCCATTATCTATTAAAAATTAA